TCTCGTAACTTGAGTTTCTTGCCTTTGGGGCAGCTCTACCCCTAAGACGTTATCCGCTAAACGATTTTCTTTGGCATCCTCTTTGTGCCGAGGTGCTCGGCTTGGGCACTTGCTCTCAAGCACATCTCACATCCACCACCCTGAATATACAATCTGCAAAACCGACTCAAAACCCCTTTCGCAGAACCCACCTTCCCATCCAAACTACCAAACTCAAACCCAACTTAGACACAAATAAACGATAAAAGCACAGTCGTTGGCCAACAACAGTAACAATCAGTAGCGAGAGGGTTCCACCCACTCAGTCCTTATAAAGTAGACTCCTGCTCCTTACACTTGGAGTACTGTAAACCTGTTAGCAGCAGTTTGTTTCCATAGTATAAAACCTTTTTATATAAATAATTTGTTAAGTAATTATATTAAATATAGTTTATTTTATGCTTAAACTTACTTGTCCTAAACAACTGCTTGGGAATTTTAAACATTTACAAGGCGAGAAAGCGAGAACTCTTTTCAGTTTTTACACCATAATTATTTATTTTATAACTTAATGACTAAATGACTTATAGTTTCTCCAAGTGTACTCCCTAACAATACCCAACCGGCAACTCAAACTCGCAATCTGGCAGCCCAGAGCGTCTGGCACTCCGACCCACTCGCCCACTCGCTGTTGTTCCGTCGCACTCGCTCGCCAGCTGTTCGTTCGTTGTTCCGTTCGCCGTTCGGTTCGCCCGCTCGTTGGTTGCGTTCGACAAACGCGGGAGTCGACTGGGCGCCCAGAAATTCCAGAAAGTGAACCCTCTCGGAAAAATGCCATTATGGAAAAGCCGCTCAAGAGAGCTAGAAAGAGAGGGAGGGAGAGAGAGAGCACCAACTCAAAAGGGGAGGTAGAAGAGAAAGCGGAGAGAAAGCGAGAGCTAAAGTTGAAAGTTAAATTGAATTGAGGTGGGCCAAGTGTGTCCTGGAGGGTAGATGGCATAGGAACAGAGTATAGGGTTGAAGGCCTCTGGGGTCCCTTCGGGTGGTTTTGTAACTTTGGCGAGAGGCGGCGGCGGGAATGAATTTGTTGGGCCATCAAAATGACTTTCAGCATGTGGAAGCCGCTGCTTAGCATGTTTCCTGACAGGCCACGTGCGGCTAGAAGGAGAGAGAGACAGCTTCAGATAGAGAGACAGGTATACTCAGCGAGTGAGATGGCTAACGAGAAAGGTCCTTTCCCGTCTCGTTCGCTCGCTACTGTGGGGTTCCGTGAAAATGAGGCGCAAATTTTGTGGCCGAGCAAACAGAACAGGAATAAAAAACAAAAAGAAAAGGTTCAACAAATGGTTGCCAGCCAAAACCGAAAACCCCCAAAAAATATAACAGGCCACCCCCCACACACTATTTAGTAATGATATGATGGCTATAGAGGTGTGGTGTTTTGGTTAGTCTTATGCGGTGTATTAGGAAGGGTAATGCTTCAAAAATAATTGCTGAAAAAAAGTAATATACGTAAGAAGAGATTCTAAGGAATAACTTAATAAGTTAACCAGAAATGAATATGACACATGCTCTTATAATTCCCAAGTTCTAATTCTGAAAGGATTTATAATACATTTTTAAGTTTTAATCAAAAGTTAATATTATCATTTATGCCTCAGCGAACACAGCACGTTCATTTTTCCATCTCCACTCAATTTAAGCATTTTCCCATCTGTTAGGTCTCTGTTAACATAATTTTCCCCTGGGCTTCTGTAATTTCTTGGCGGTTTGTGGACTTAACCGGGTATCGGGTATCTCCTAGTCCAGCTCTTTCGCCTGGGCGCTCAGCAAAGTCTAGCAAGTGGAAAACCCATAAAGCACAAACATGCGAAACACATTGCTTTACCATTTTCACCACCCCCTTTTCTTCCCAACTGGCTGTCCTACCTTCTACCTCTACTCACACTTTGGGGATGCTTGAAAATTATGTCAACGAGTTCTGTTGATTTTCCCCATTTCGTTTGGCTTTTATTTCTGCCCACCCACCTCGTTCTTCTGCTCTGCATTTTTCCCCCTTTTTCTTTATTTTTTTTGCCCTTTTTTGTTGTTTGCCCGCTCGGCTTTTCCCCATTTTCCTCGACCATAGAACCCGGCGCTGGTTAATTACATTTTACAAAATTTGCTGTCAAGCAGTTAAGTTGGGTTAAGTCGAGCAAATGTCGACTGCGGCAGAATGGTATTTTCTGCTTTCCCGGCTGTTCGTAATTTAATATTCGATTTTCGTAATTTTTATACGCTGACCTTTTTTGCAATTGTGGAATTTTCCTTTTTAATTATTTATGTGCGGTTGTTCAGTTTTTAGGGCTGGTGAGCGGGGGGGAGCGTGTCATCGTTTTTGTGTGTGTGAGTGTCCTCCTCCGTTCTGTTCTGCATCCGCAGATTAAAAGGAAAATCGTTTTGTATTTAATTATGCAGTCAGGTGATGGTAATTGGGGATTGTAATTCGGAATGTTTCTCTGTGTCCGAGAGTGTGGGCGGGCGGGAATGTTTGCATAATGTTTACACGTTTTGCCAGTGGGTGGTTGGGCTTTTGGTTTGCTTGCTAGTTACTCTCTTTGTTGACCATTTCATAGAGTAGCCCGCCCAAACATACATACATATATATACCTTTTATGTACACCGCCACATTGGTACATAAGTAAATCCCACATTTTGGTTAACTTTCCGTGTGTTTGGCGAGCGGAGAATTCAGTGAAAATATTTTTAAAAGCTCAAGTCAGAGCAGGCAAACACAGACGGAGGAAAAAATTGCATTCCGCCCAGGGACAGGGACACACAGTGAGATGGAGGGGCAGTTTGATGTGGCACAGTGGGCGGAGAAGGTGCACAGGAAGGACATCAAATAAGTGGGTGAAGAGCCACAGAATAGGAGTTACTCTTTATACGTTGGAATATGTCCTTGTAAAAATGCTTTTAAAATATGAAAAGATATATTAATTTTATATTATTTACCAATTTAGTTTCTTTACCTTTTAAAAAAACATTTTCTTCCATTTGTTGGAATTTACTAGTACCTCTTTTTAGGGTATAAAGAGCTCCTCTAGCTAACGCAAAAGACAACCCAGCAAAAAAGGAAAATTGTGGCGCAAAATGTTACGCTTGCATCGAAATAGAGGGGAAAATGTGGAAATGTGCAGAGCGGAGAGACGGAGGGAGCACAGGAAAACTGAGGATTGGGTTTTTCACGAGGGGCTAAAGAGAAGGGAAAGCGGCAGCAAAGGAAAAGCGAACATGTTGGCTCCTACAATGACAGCAGCCTGCAACAGCCGGCGAAGGACGTTGGGTGGCCGAAAGGTTGGTTGTTGGCTGACAAGGGGGTGCCAGAGTGGGTGAAACGATGGCAAAGGCATTAAGCTGCGCCCACACTTACACATACTGACAAACAACGAGGGACATTATAGCTGGCGAAGGATGCGTTTTCCATGAAATACCCACACATACACACACACACACACACAAAGAGCACGACATACTTTTGCACAGAAGAAGAAGAAGATGGAAAACTTGGCGCGACTTTCGACTACGTGAAGCTGTGAGCTCCAAAAGCGAAGAAAAACTCACACAGACACACACACACCCACGTGCATAACGGACATATATCCCCCCCCCTCACACACACACACACACATGCGAACTCACACATACATACACAAGAGAAGAGGAAAAATGGCAACATAACTGTAGTGAAAATGTCAAGAGAGAAAAGATATTAAAACGTATTTGACTTCTGTGAGTTTTGGCTGAAGCGATGGATAGAGAGGGGGTGGTGTAGGGGGATTTCTGGTGGCAGGGTGGCACAATGAAAAATATATAAAGAAGCCGCCACTCACACAAGCACATCCGCCCACACACACACACCGAAAGCGAGCTTATGACAAAAATAATAAAAATGGCTCAAGAAAAGAAAATGGCAAAAACGAACTGAAATAAAAAAGCAGCAGGGAAAAAATAGGAAAAAAGTAAAAAAGCAAGAGAGAAAATACAAGTATAAAAATGAATTTTAGATGACAGGCAAAGCAGCTTGTTGGGGGGAGAAGCTAGCTGGGAAGAGCTTGTTGGGTGTGTGTGGGGTGTTTCGGGTAAGGTTTGTCTTTGCAGTTAAGCAGACAAGTAAATGTTGTCCTTGTTGTTGTCCCTACACCACCCGCATAATGCCCCCTTCTTCCTCAAAAGGGGGCGTGGCAGGGAAAAAATAAAACCAGAGAAGGAAAAATTGTGGAAAAGTTTTATGGGCAACAGCGGCAAAAATTGCAATATAGCCAAGGAGAAAGAGGAGGCTGTGCTCTTGATGGCTGTGGAAAAGAGGATGCGGCAGTGACAAGGATAAAACATCAGCGATGGAATGGGTGGAGAAAAGGGAGCCGAGATGAAGAACTGTAAAAGGAAAAACTGGATGGGAAACCAATTTAAAGAGGAAACTGCTTTATAAGAGCATATGAAAATACATTCGGGAAATAGTTAAGTAATAGAAAATGTGGTTTACTGCAAAAGTTATTTGATGTAAGGCTAAAAAACTGCCCAAAGATTTCAATTTGACTTCCTTGTGAACCTTCTATTTGCAATACCAATTAACAAATTTTAAAAATAATCAATAAAAATGAATAAAATAACAATCAAGTCATATCTTTTTCCACTTTCTGTCAAATACTTTCCCAAAGAGAACAACTTTTTCCCAATTTGCTATAATATTTCATTAGACAAGTTCCCAAAGGGAGAAGAACTGTCAGCATATGTTGTATAGGGCTTATGGAATACCCCAAAGATGAAGCCACAAAGCCCCAAAACGAAAACAGGGAAAGGGCGAGAGAGACAAGGCATAAAAAGTAAATGAATAACATAAAAATAAATCATACGCCCCATCGGCCGCCCAGTAAAAAGTGAGCCAATACCGTAACCATTACCCTCGCTGCAAAATCATACCACCACACCACACCCCCCCCCACACTCCATCCCTTCTCCCAAAGAGCCCACAAAAAACCCCATTGGATGTCCTACCCCCCTATTTTCATGGCGCTAATAAATGCTTATCGAAGACGCATAAAGCGAGTAAATTCGCAGCCATTAAACGAGCATAAAACTCGATGCCGGGCCGAAACGAAATTGTGGGACCGACAAATCAAAGTACATGCCTCAGAGCCTCATGTCCCGGCCTCCCTTCCCTTCGCTAGCCCTAAAGTTTCCCTGCCATGAAATAAAACCAGGCAACAATGAAACCCAAAGCGGCTCCCAAGCGATTTCGATGCGGGCATTCGTCGGTCGGACCAAGGAATTGGCCACCCACAAGCCGAAAACCCAAACCCCCAGAGAAGCTTCCATTTTAACCCCCACTCCCTTGGCACTTTCTGCACCCCCTCCTCCGACGCAACACTCGCTATATAACCATCTTACCCAACGTTGACAGCATACAAAGTAACTTAAATCGAAACAATAAAGCGGCAACTTTGTTCCAAGAAAAAATGCAAAAGAAAGCAAAATGAACACAGAGAAAAACATCGTAGGAAGAAATGGAAAAGGGAAGAGTAGAAGAGGAAGAAGATGGAAAATGCGATGTGGGATATACACTTTAGGGTCCTGATTTTTCCGTTTTCCAAATATCTTTAGTGAAGCAAATTTAACCAAAAATATCCCTTAAAAAGCATATAATTTTGAAAGGAAATCAATTACATAAAACTAAAAACATAATTCATTATAATTCAGGGTATTCGAAACACCATAAAGCAGCACTGTTTAAACTTCCGATCGAAATTCCCATACCAAGCTTGGGTATTATTACAAAAAACGTAAGAAAAGTCGTGAAGGAAAGTTCCCAAAGAAATTGAGCTGAAGGAAGGGAGACGAAGGAGAGAGGAAATAGAGGGGAAAGGGCAAAAAAAAGAAATGTAGAAAAGCGCAAATAAATGAATGAATAAAAGCGCCAAGGATGGCAAGGATACCATACAGGCAAGGGACTCGTTTGGTGGCAAAAAGGAAGGCAAAGGAACCGAGTTCCACAAAGAAATTACAAAATGTATGCAACAAAAAAATGAAAAAAATAAAAAAAACGCTGAAAAAGGCGGACTGAAAAGTGGAAAAAATAGGGAATGGGGTATTGCTGCAACGCTGGAAAAATATTAATAAATCCCCGCCACCGTGGGACACGAATACCTCCCTATATGCCCTTCCCCTCACGCTGTTTTTTATCAACGTACCAAGCGACGTATGAGCAATGTGTGGCAAGGGAAATTGCTTCTACCAGAAAGGCAATTCAAAAGGAAAAAGCACAGATCAGACAAAAAACAAAACAGAAACCAGAATGAAATTAAAATGAATTTCTCATTTCAATAAGTTTTGTTTATAAAAAATATTTTAATAATCTTTAAGCTATTTACTTACAAACTGTGAAAAGATCATTGCTAATTTTATCTTTAACTTCATCTTTGCAATACCCATCTTATTAAGTACAATTTTCCGGTAATTATTTCATTCGTATAACCTTATTTTCCTCAGTCCATTAAGTCCATTTCCGCGAGTATCTATTATCCCCGATTCGTAATAAATTGTGGTTACTCCTCGGGTCTTTGTAGTTTGCAATCAATTTATTGAGATGTTTATCCTCCCAATTGCTCTCAACTAATCATTCGCTTGTCCGCCTTTTCACACGACACCCACATACCGCAAACGCCCATACCACCAAACACCAGCCACACCCACTTTTTGCAGCCCACAACTACCCTTTTTATTTGGTAACCACAGCTTCCCGGACGGAGTTGCCACTCGAGCGACCACTAATCATAACGATAACACCTAATCAACCGCAACTCGGCGGGCCATCCAGCTATTCGGTATTTGGAATTCGTAATCCGGACGGAATCCGGAATTTCAATCGAAATCCGTAACCGAATCCAGGAGCCACCCCCCCGCTTGCCCACTCACTTCAACGCCCACAAATCGAAACCGAAAAAGGTTTCGGGCTAAATTAAATGAAACGTTGATAAGGCGCAAAAGGGCGCACTAAACGATTAAATCGACTGAGCGAGCAAATGAGAGAGTGGTACCCCCCTAGCCAACCACCTTGAGGAGGTCACCCAACCACCCACACAACTACCACTGACAACTGACCCGTGGACCTGACGGAGGGCGGACGTGCCCGACTGACTTTCGGCACAAGTGCGCAGCGATGGCGAAAAGTGAATTTTCCGCTCAGCGCTCGCTTGGCTTTCCGTTTTTGTGGGCCAGGCGCTTACACAGTGGAGCGGGTGCAGCGGGGTGAGCCGGAAAATTGCCAGCTGAATAATTTCCAGAGCCGACTGCAACAGGGGAAGTGTTTTTCGGTGGAACACGCAAGGCGAGAGAATAATAAAAAGATATTTCTTTACGAATAGAATTTGCTCTGTAGTATTGTTTATTGAACGATTTAATTTTTTAATTATATATTTAAAAATATATTTAAAATCCATAAGTATGGAAAAAACTATTTTGGAACGGATGTTCCTAGTCTTATTTCTGGAAGATTCAAGATTTTTATAAGTGATTTCGTTTTACTTGCCTTTTAAGTTTATTTTTATTATTATTAAGTTTTCTTATTATAAGAAATTATAGTAAAAAACACTTAATGATCTTATATTTTAAACTAAAAACTTAATAATATTCCATCATACCCCTTGTCTTCCCCTTTTCGCAGTCATAAAACCATCGAACTGGGCGCCCTCATAGTTGGGTGGTGTTTTTGTTCGGGTTCGTCTCAGTTCGGTTCGCGATTGTTCGACTGGGTTCGCACGGACACAATGCTACTGAATATATATATATATATACAGATATATATATAGGAGTTTCACGTGCCATTGCGCATGTGGGAATGCCGCGAGGTTTTGGGTCTTGCACTTCTCCCCAGGCACTTGGTCGTCGATTTTGATCATTCTGAGCGCCTGGTCCATCGGCAGCGTGTTGCGTTCGTGTGTGACGTTCTGTGCGGACCTCGGACCGATTAAGTCCGTGATCTGTAAAGGGGGTAGAGAGGGTAGTGCTTCTAGACCGGGAATAACACCCGACACTCTAAGTGAGTCCTGTCTGTCCTGTCCTCTGTGTATGTGTGCTAGTAATTGCAGGACCCCAGCCTTGTTGTGCACACATTTGCTTAACTGGACTTGATTAGGTTTTCGAGGTTAGATACATTACGAATTATTCAGCGCACATCAGGCGGTTCGGTTCAATCCCACCCGCCCACAGGCCCTGCACTTGCTCCGCATCCCCGCCAGAATTGGATCCCCCTCAGCCGACGCCGACGCCGACGCCGATCCAACCCCACTTGTTTGGGCTGCCGGCGAATGTTCGTTCGTGGTTTGCCCTGTGTGTGTTCATTGAATTATTTCAAGCATGCCGAGCATTTATAAGCACTGAAATAAAAAACGAGGGCGTTAGTCGACATAATTTAATAATTGCTGGTTAAGGGAAGGGAAAAACTTATGAGCCAAAAGGAACTCAGAATGATTGGAAGTGGAAGTTTACTTTGAATCTTAAGAAAAGATCATAGGAATCTTATAAGGGATATCATTCAGCGATCTTAATCAACTTAAACTCTTAAAAAATTATTAGTTTTTAAATATTTTACCACGCAGTAAATCACTTTTTTTTAACAATAAAACTTAAATAGCTTTTAAAATATCCATAAACTGGGAAATGAAAATGTTTTCACATTTTTTTATGGTGCATAAATTATTGTATGTGTCGACTGGTTGGACTTCCTCGGCTGCTTCTTTTTCGATTGCCTTGTAATTGCGTTAGGATGCGAACTTTGTTATCCTTGCCACGTAGCACATAATTGTAACCATTAATATTTCATTGGGTGGTGGTTGGTGTCTGTCATTCGGCGGAGGAACGTTAATGCATTGTTCGGCCAAAACATCTTTTCCCCCCTCACCTCTGACCAACAAGGGTAAGTTTAATTAATCGACGACCGATGCTCTTATTGTTCCAATGCCAAAGTAGTCAAAATATTTGACTTGTAGATGTGCCTCTAATTGAGTGCCCCGTCCCCCCGCCGCCACCTACCAAGAAGTTAATGCCCGAAGTGAAAGTTGTTTTTGACCAACTGCCGTTGTTGTTCTGCCCCATCTTGGGCTTGTTCTTTTGGGCGCAGCCCATCTGGCAGAATCTGCAGGAAAATGATGTAAACCTAATTAAATTTCCAATAGAACAAACGACGCCCCTCGTTCAAAGATTCGCTGGAGTTTGTTGGGCTTGGCGATGGGCAAGAAGGAAGTAACTTTGAGGATGGCAACCAGATAATTGCCAGATTGCGTCATGCGAATGACTTTCCTTTCTCCATTACCCCATATTCCCCCAACAGTTTGGAAAGCTATCAACTTTAATGCGATGGCGGCCGCCAGGAGGTATTGGGACCCGGGGCGGGACCAAATGGTTCTACATTGGACTTCCTGACCTGCGGGGCAAATTGACCAAGACAGATCAAAGAACTCCTCTGCAGAAACTTATTTCGGAAGCTGTCAAGAACTAATAGGAAAATCTAATAATTTTTGTTGTATTGAAAAGTCTAAGAAAAAGTGTGATTAATTGGATTTTTTTTATTAGAAAATAGAACTGAAAAAGAAAGTAATTTCTAAAAATATTTTTGAATTTTTATATATTGCTTTGTTTTAAAATAAAAACCGTAAAGATTCTCAACTTTTTCCCATATTGGCTTGATCGTTTTCCCTGATTTCCTTCGAAAGCTTTCACTCTGAACTTTTTCCAGTCCCAAATCAGCATAGATGACATAGATAAGTAATTTCATTATCGAAGGAAACACACAAGTGGCCTATGCCGAACATAAATCTCCCCCAATAAAACGCTATATATATATAGTATACATTAACCGAAGCCTGCTGCCCTTCAGTCATCCCCAAAAGAATAAAGGAAAACCCAACAACATCCAACAAGGCGAAAATTATCGAAATGACAAAACGAAAGTGAGTGAGTGAAACACCGCACAGCCCCCTAAGAAAACCCCACACCACCCCTTGGCAGTGGGGCCATGACATTGTCAACGTCTTGGCTGCTGTCTTGGGTATATTGATGATTTTCCACACACCCATACATAGCCATGCATACACATACAAATTGAATTATCCCAAGGACCAAATGTTTCTGTCCTTCGGTGTGTGGGTGGGGGGTTGGGTGGCTTGGTTGCCTTCTGTTTGTGTATCTGCGAGACGTCAAAGTATCTTAATTAAATTTCATCCCTTAGCCCGAAAACACACAGAAAAAAGGAAAACGCAAAACAAAACATAATAAAAATGTGCAGCAATTTCTCTCTCGTTTTCTCCACTGACTAATAGACAATTTACGCCCAGCTCACAACCACAAGAACAACGACGACCATGGCAAAAAAGTCACCAAGCCACGAAACATTTTGAAATTAGT